TATATATATATTTCATACTCATATATATGTAATTTTTTAATTTTGTTTTTCTTTTTAATTTGAAAATTATTATATTAATTTTAATTTTATGTAATAAATAAATGAAAATTAATTAGTACTAACAAGAAAATATTATTAAAATATATTTTAACAATTAAAATATATTTTATTCGAATGTAAAATGCTTGTTTTTTTTAATAAGAAGTTTTGTATCGGTTGTTTTTAATCTATTTTAATTAGTATTTATCATATTTATTTTGAATTAAACTTTAATATTTTAAAAATATTTTATCAATAATTAAAAATAACCTTATATTATAATATAAATTATTTATCATAATTTTAAAATATAATTCACGAGTTAAAAATATTTATATTAATTTTTATTATAACATAATACTTATTTTAAAATATAATATTTATTTATATAACTAATTATAAATTTTAGCCGTATATTAACTTGATTTGTAGAATTCACGTATTAAAATACTTCTTTAGCAAATATGCATAATGGTTCGAAATGTGCATAAGATTAACGCTTACGCCTTATTAACACTTTGACTCTTTCAATAATGATACCCCCAACAAGGCCTGGTACCCAAAAGCAAAATATATAACACATTTTTTTTATAATATTATTTTTATTATCTTCTTATATCAAATCACTTATTATTTTATAATTTTTTCTTCTTTTATGTCTCATTCTCTTTCCTCTTCAAAAGTTTATATATGGATAATACACAAAAGTACATTGAGGATTCACATCCTAGACTTAATGGTCACTAAATGCATTTCTTTGTTAAAATTGTTGATAAGCTAATTTAATCCATTTAATAATAAATTAGTAATACTTTCATCTTCTAATCATATAATTTTGTAAGTTGTGCAATATTAAATTGTATTTATTCATCAATTATATTCTATAATTAATTTTTAATTAAAATACAATTCATAATGCTGTTACAATTTGAATTAATAGTTACATAACATTGGCTATGCTTATTTCAACCATCTAAAAATAAATTAGTAACACTTTTGATTTTTTAATCAATGTGATTTTGAGATTTTATTTTTTAAACGTTAATACAATTACTATCAAATATTCATTATTGTAATAAATTATATGATATTGTTGTAATTTATATTAAGTAATTAATAATTTCAAAATATATTTAATTAAGTTATATATATGAATTAATAATTAAGACAAAATTTTGGTTAACATGTAGGTTATAAAAAATATAAAACTCTAAACGCTGGGTAGTTATTATTAATTATAAGAAGAAGAAAAAATCTTTTATTTTGTTGTCCAAAACATAATGTCTTATAATATGAAATTAAATTAAAATAGCATATATATATATATATTAATATTTTTATTAATTAAAAAATTGGTTTTGATTAAATTCTTTGATAAAAATAAATAATAAATGTATAGTCACTCATATTAATTATAAAAAAATGACACAATGATAATAATTATAGTATAAAGTATCTGATAATTTAAAATTATATTTAATTAGTATATACATGTGTATATTAATGATTTTATTAATTAAGAGATTGAATATGACAAAATTCTTAGTTGCAAAAAGGTAATAAATATTATAATAATTAATATTAATGTTAATTAAAAATAATCATTAAGTAATATTTTTCTAAAATCAAATAATTAGGTATTATTAATTATAAGCAATAGAAAAAAAATTATTGTCTTGCATGTTGAACACAAACATAATTTTTATTTTAATACGTATAAATTTATAGTGTTCAATTTTATTTGTCCATATATATGCAAGACTTTATTTTTCTTAAAATAATTTACATCAGCCTTAAAAAGAGTTATGATAGATGTGCAAAAATATTTTTCATGATCATTTTGTCATATTTCTTTTAGTTACATTAAATTATAATTGTTCTTTTGAGAATTATAATTATTCAAAAGAAATTTATTATGCAAAAAAAAAAAATCAATTTTATTAACTTGTAATTTTATTTATACAAAATTTAATGTTAAGTACTATAAAGACTTTAGAAATTATACATGTATTAAATATCTTTATTTATATTTTAATTTATTTATTCACATTAATGAAAAATATAAGATTTTATAAGATAAATTTTTAAAATATTAATAAGACAAATAATGTTAGTTTAAAACACTTGAGAATATAATTTTATATATATTATTTTAATTTTTTTTTATCATTAACATAGTTAAATAAAATTATAGTTAAAATTAATTAATTAAATAATATATTTTTTTTTATCCGCACATCACAGGCTCTATTTTGAAATTTTCTTATTCAACAAAATTAGGAAACTAAAATTCGAGCATAGAATCTCATGCATGTTACAGAACTGTCATCCATACGAGGACTATTTAATGAAGCGTGAATTTGTGAGTTGATCTATGAATTATGAATTATGATCACAAACACAGAACACAACGTCCTAATTACGCAGAAGCTTCTTCGTGTACACACACACACGGCATGGTGGTGGGGACTGTTGTCAGCGTCTTTGACCCTTCTTTCTTACTTCAAAGTTCACCAAGTCTTGTGAACTCAACCCCTGTCCCTCCCTCCTTCCCTTTTCCAATTTCATTTTCATCTCAAACCTCACTTTCTCATCACAGATTTCACAATTTTCCTACATAAAAATACAATAATGACAATAAGTAGAAATTTCTCACCAAAAGTAATACAAAATTCATTGACTTGCCTCCCCAGTCTTCCCCCAACTTATCGTAATTTTAAGGCTTTTTTTTTTTTTTTTTTTTTCATACTTGGGTACCCCTCCATCTCTGTCTCAATTCTCTTGCTGCCTGCAGCAGTTTTATTTGAAATTGATGACCCCCCACGTAAGGTTCTAGCTTCCAAAATAAGAACTCACAGAAGAACCAGCATTTGGTTATGGTATAAGTCATTTGACTGCTATTTCTTTTGGTCAACTTATTGGTCAATTTGCTTATGAGCTTCAAGGGTATAATGCAGATCAACCAGTACTTTAGAGGGGTTATTCAAGTGCATGTGCATGATTGAGGAGGATGGTCAGCATGGAGCGAGTGATTTCATCTTTCATGCTTTTGTTTCGTCTTTGGGCAATTTTTTTGCTTCACTTGGTGCTCAAGGTTTCTGGCAATTCAGAAGGTGACCTTTTGTGCTTACTTACTTGGTACTTGACATGACGATTTTTATTTCATTCTCCTGTTTATGTTCTTTTTGTTGCCTTTCAGCTGTATTGTTTCTGGCTCGTGTTTTTGAGTGAGTAATAAAACTGGTAGAGGAGTTAGTATGCAAAATGGAAACACAAATTAGGGGAATTAATTGAACTGGAAAAAGTTAGAGGACCAAATTGAAACCAATCTTTAATTTAGAGGACAAAAATACTAATGTTGCCTGTTGAAAATTTCTATGGTGTATTGGGCTTTAGATGACTAACTTGAGGAACTTGGACTTCATGTGTTTTTACTTCCTGTATTTCCCACAACTTCATTAGAGCAACATAAATGTTGACAATTTCATACTAAGGATGTTCTTAATTGCGCGTGAAATACTTCTATGGCAGGTGATGCCTTGTTTGCATTGAAGAACAGTATGAGTGATCCTAACGAAGTTCTTCAAAGTTGGGATTCTACCCTTGTCACTCCTTGCACATGGTTTCATGTTACTTGCAACACTGAAAATAGCGTAACTCGTGTGTAAGATATTTATGTTATTTTTACTTGTAGTTTTATGAAAGTATGTACACAAGGTGAAAAACAATTTTTGTCTGGCTAGTGATCTTGGAAATGCAAACCTTTCCGGTGAACTTGTTTCGCAACTTGGTCAACTCCCAAATTTGCAATACTTGTAAGTTATGAAACAGAAAGATTTTTCTCAACACTATTTCTTGATTGATATTCCATTAACTTTTACCTAGAATTTTATATTGTTTGGCTGAAAGTCTGAAACAGATGTGATTAGGCAAGGTTATTCTAAAATCCAATAAGATAACTGTGTTGTTCGGAAAATTTCCTAATTGTTCTTTTATACATCCGTTACTTTATGTTAATGATATGTTGATTATATCAAGTAACATTTCCTTAATCAAGAAGTTAAAATATTAACTTAGCAATTGGTATGATTATTTGAAAAGAAAGAACTAGGGGAAATCCTTGGTATGGAGATTCACATGGACCATCAAGCAGTTAAAGTATTGTTATCACAAAAGAAATACATTGAAAAAGTGCTTGAAATGTTTAAGATGATTAATTGAAAACCGTTTTACACCGTTTGCTGCATATTTTATGTTATATCCAGACCAGACCTTTGCCCATGAACAAGGAAGAGATGAATTGTATGTAACATGTTCCTTATACTAGTGCAGTTGATAGCTTTATGTATGCTTTGGTGTGCACTAGGCCTAATTTGGAACATGTTACATAGAGTAAACATATAGCTAGAAATAGAATGTTGGTGTGCACTGATTCAGATTATGGTGGTGATCTGGATCAAATATCTCTATCTAGCTATACCTTTACTGTACGTAGTTGTGCTATCAATTGGATAGCTACACATCAATTAATTGTTGTATTACCTCCAACTAAAGAAGCACATTTTGCAGAAAGCCAGCAACAGATGGTGTGAAATGAGGCTATTTGGTTTAATGTTTTAAATGTACCTTATATTTTCTGTAGTTGAATTTTTACCATATTAACTGCTATTAGATTTTAACCTGTCATAGCATTGATACAAATATGTTATGCAAATTTTAGTTCTTCATTAGACCTTTTCCTCTACCCAAATCTAAATATTTTTCTTTTCATTGTCAGGGAACTTTATAGTAATAATATAACTGGGAAAATCCCAGATGAGCTTGGAAGTTTGGCAAACTTGGTGAGCTTGGATCTTTACGTGAACAACATTACTGGTTCCATTCCAGACAGCTTGGCCAACCTTAAAAAACTACGCTTCCTGTATGACATGCTTTCCTTTATCTCATATCTAAAATCAGCAAAACTTATTTAAATCAGTTTCAATTTTGTTTCATCATTAGCATTCATAAGTCTTGCTTTCCCATATAAAATGGTGGAAATTATGCATCCAAAACATAGCTATTTCAGTTTCCAACACATCTTGTTACTTTGAGCAATTGTTCAAGAGAAGTATCATTCTACATAATCACATGAAATAGATGCTTATTATATCACACATCACCACACTTGCTATTTAATGATTGTTGTCAAGTCTTGTTACTCTATCTGACAATAGTTTATTATATGTAAACTAAATGGTTATGCTACCTGAACTAGGCGTCTCAACAATAACAGTTTGTCAGGAAAAATTCCTATGCGTTTGACCACTGTTACTACACTGCAAGTGCTGTGAGTTTTACTCCTATATGTACATACATTGTTATACTAACGTTGTACAAACATTTCTATACTGGCATTGTGTTATTTTGTGTAACCTGACACTATGGTCATTGCTGAATCTAGTGATTTATCGAACAACAACTTAACTGGAGATGTCCCAACAAATGGTTCTTTTTCATTCTTTACTCCCATTAGGTTGGTACAAATAAAATTGTTTATTTCATTAAGCACACATTGGGAGAACCACACTACTATTTGAAAGCCCAATATAAACCTCACATCAGAATCCCATATATTTTTTTTATGTGGGACACATTACTAATATTATCGAGGGATGACAAATCAAAATTTTACTAAACCCTTTACTTGTTGCAGTTTTAAGAATAATATTTTATTGAATCAAACTGCTCCAACTCCATCAGCTCCTACACCACCACAAAATCATTCAGGTTTGTTGATATTTGTTTTATTGTTTGTAATGAATTTAATTTTTCAAAGAATAACCTGACCTAAAATCATATGCTAAAAATATAACACTTAAATTACTCTCTCATGCAAGTCCAATGTGCTTGAAACATGGACAGAATATAGTCTTGCAACTAAAATTACAAGAAAATCAACTTTGTTTTAAAATTGTAAGATGAGGAGCAAAAATCACACCACTTGGTCTACTAGAATTTGATACCATGTAAAATAAAACCACTAAGAGAGGCAAAGGCTCAATAACAAAATGTTATACAAGTCGAAATTAATATTATGTTAAAGGTTTTCAATTTGGTGGCATTTTACGTTTGTTTCTTTAACAAGCTACATCCACTCTGCTCCTTTCCGTACTACTAATTTTCCTTCACCCTTTGCTTCCAAAGAGAAAGGAGAAATGAAGGTATTGATAATGGATAGGTTGTATGTGCCTTTTTTTTTTTTTTTTCAAATGCTTATTCCGAATCCGAAATTTTGGTTTTTTTTCTTTTCAAATTGGGGTTCTATTTTTAGTTTCTATTTGGTATCCTCATAGAATGACACTCATGGTCAAGTTCAAGAAAGGGAGTTGATGGCAATGTTGAACTCTTTTCCATTCTATTCAGGATGAAAAGTTTTGGAATTGAGTTATAGTTTCCCCATTTAATTCTGTTAATCCTTATAGGTAATGGTAATAGAGCTATTGGAGCCATTGCTGGAGGAGTTGCTGTGGGTGCTGCACTATTATTTGCAGCCCCTTTAATTGCACTTGTTTATTGGAAAAGAAGGAAGCCACAAAATTATTTCTTTGATGTTGCAGGTTAGTGGAATAATAGAAAAGATGGAATATATAAAAATTTAAGTTGCATATGATAACAATAACTGACTTTTGCGTGTCCTTCACTGGCAGCTGAGGAGGATCCTGAAGTTCACCTTGGTCAGCTTAAAAAGTTTTCACTGCGTGAACTGCAAGTTGCAACAGATAGCTTTAATAACAAAAACATTCTTGGTAGAGGAGGATTTGGCAAGGTTTATAAGGGACGCTTAACAAATGGTGAGCTTGTAGCTGTAAAAAGGCTTAAAGAAGAACGCACCCAGGGTGGGGAGATGCAATTTCAAACTGAGGTGGAAATGATCAGTATGGCTGTGCATCGAAATTTGCTTCGCCTGCATGGTTTTTGTATGACACCTACTGAACGCTTGCTTGTGTATCCTTTCATGGTTAATGGAAGTGTGGCTTCATGCTTACGAGGTACCCTTATTAGCCTACTCTATTTAGCCTCTATTGAAAAGGATTCACATGACATGCATTTCTTCGTTTTACTAATTTACTTATACGTGTTTCTCAGCTAATTATCTTTTCTCTCATATCCTTTTTTTTTCCTAGTTATGCAAGCCTTACTTTTCATGTCAAAGGTTTGTTTTGTATTTTTTTTTTTTTTGTAAAATAAAATCATGTATGCTTGACATGTGATATAGCAGGGCACATTCACACAACAATGTGGTAATATATCAGTACTTAAATCTGATCTAGTATTAGGTGCCAAAATTTTCCACACATTCATCCAATTTTATTTGACCACATCCTTTAATGCGATCAAAATAGAGAATCCTAATCAGCTTTTCTTCCAAATTGCACAAAAGAAAATAGTTTTTCTACTGTTAAATTTCAAATTAAAATTGTTCTTATTCATATTGATTATATATTTTGTAGACCGTCCGGAATCAAAAGCACCACTTGAATGGCCAACACGAAAGCGTATTGCCCTGGGAGCTGCTAGGGGGCTTTCTTATTTGCATGATCATTGTGACCCAAAGATCATTCATCGTGATGTCAAAGCTGCAAATATATTGTTGGATGAGGACTTTGAAGCAATAGTTGGAGATTTTGGTTTAGCAAAGCTCATGAATTACAAAGATACTCATGTTACTACTGCTGTACGTGGTACTATTGGCCATATAGCCCCAGAGTACCTCTCAACTGGAAAGTCCTCAGAGAAGACGGATGTTTTTGGATATGGTGTGATGCTTCTTGAACTAATAACCGGACAAAGGGCTTTTGATTTAGCACGACTTGCCAATGATGATGATGTTATGTTGCTTGATTGGGTAGGAATTATCTTATTACTAAATATGCTGTTAGTACTTTGTTCAATTAGCAGACATGTATTTTCCTAAATATTATGAGGTTTAAGATAATCCAATTAAAGGAAATCATACTTTTAAAGGAAATATTTTTGCATCAAATATCGTTAATGTGAATTCCAGTTTTTCTCATGAAGGTGTGATTGATAAGTTCAGTACAAGACAAGGTGTCATCTTTTTGTCATTTTTATACATTTCTAGTTGAAGTTTTGAAACCTCTTTTTATTTCCTATTCTGGTTTTGGTTTTTGCTTTGAAAATAAAATACAAAATTGATTTGGTTGTTCCTATTTCTGTCCTGGATTATGGAATCTCATTTTCCAAGTTTTTGTTTAGTTTGTTTGTGTTACATCAGTTATGTACTGATATTATAGCATCAATGGCTAATGATTTTTGTTTTGAAATGGCATTATTTTGACCCCAGGTGAAAGTACTTCTTAAAGAGAAGAGGTTGGAAACACTGGTGGATGCAGATTTAGAGGGGAATTTTGAGGAGGGGGAAGTAGAAGAGGTAATCCAGGTGGCTTTGCTCTGCACACAAAGCTCCCCTTCGGAAAGACCCAAGATGTCTGAGGTGGTGAGAATGCTAGAAGGTGAAGGTTTGGCAGAAAAGTGGAATAAATGGTGGCAGAAAGAGGATATGATCAAGCAAAATTTCGATCCCAACAATTTCCACACCACTTATTGGCCACTATTAGACTCAACTTCAAATGTTCCACCAGATGAACTATCAGGTCCTAGATGATCTTTGAACAGAAAGAAATTTTTAAATAATGAAACGTTTAGCATAGGGAGAGACGCCTTGTGGAAACAAAAAGTTTCTGTCAAAGCTTCATAATGTTGGTTTAATGCACCGCATAATTAGTGTAACATGCAGTGAAGGGTGCATAAGAAGCACTTTGATGACAAATTAAAACAGCTTGTGTCTGGATATTTCTAAGTCTTTGACCACTGTTACTTCACTGCATGTTCGATGAGTGTTACTACTACATTTTAAATAGATTTTCCATGAACTATGTAGATGGGTTATAGTATAGTTTCATAATTTTTTTTTTTTTTATGTGTAAACTGACACAAGCCATTGTGGATTGTGGAATTTAGTGATTTATGATACAACTAGTTAAACGGAGAAGTCCCAAGTCAATGGTTATTATTCGATGATTTTACTCCCACCAGTTGGTATTATTGAAGGATGAAAGATAAATTTTTGGCAATGTCTATAGTGATTGAACATTTGAACCACTGTCAAGTGTACTTTCTTTTATATTTCATAATTATAGATAAATGGAAAAGTATTTAGCAGTCGTATTCACCCAAATCACGTAGAGAGGTAAATTCACTAAATTGTGTATAAGCTTGTTTAGTAAAAGTTTACATACAAGCTTTAGTAGAAAGCCTATTAAAAAATAAGCGAAGTTGATAATGTTTTATAAAATTTATTAAAATCAGATAAAAATAAGAGGATAGGTATGCTTAGGACATGCATAACAAGTTGATTAAAAAAAAAGGATATATATATATATATATTTATGTGTATTAGCTGATAACAATTAATTTCAATTATTTTATTTATTTTTTTGAGTTTCAAAATTCTAAAATAAATAATTAAAAAAATTTATTCTCTAAATTTCTTGTTAATTCTCACTTTTAATTTCTAAGCAAATTTTATTTAATTTTAATTCATAATTTTTTCCTTCAAGAAAAGGAAATATTGATGTCAAGACCAAAAATGTTAGGAGCAGGAGAGCGAAAGTTCAAGTTCAAGGACTAAAGCTAACAAGAAATGTTAGAAACACTCTTTTAAATATTTATTGTCTATTTGATTAAAATTTATTGAAAAATACAATAATTAATATATCTCACATCTTATTTAATAACCTTCTCATCTGAATTTGCGATTTTCAATAATTTTAACTAATAATAAAGAGTAGATTAAAAAGTGTGTGTTTAAGAGTATGTTACTAATATTTTTCAAATATAAATTAGCAAGTATTCAAGGACTAAAACAAACAAAAAAAATTTCTCCAAGTGAAATTCAACAAAATTTTTAGAACTAAAATCATATTTAATCTTAAAGTATATATATTAAAGTGTTTTAGTTAATTAAAAATATTTTTTTTTGTGATTTAATAAAGAAGTATAATTCATTTTCAATGATTGACTCATTCATGTATAAATAAAACAATATCTTCAATCATGACTCTATACACTAATAATATACAATTTTTTTTAGTTTTAATCATTCAAATATAATCTAATAATACATATTTAATTATAATTTTTATTTATCATAATAATAACAGTTTTCTTTGACACATTTCCAGTGAAAAAAAATAGGAAGACCAACCATGAAGGCATCTAAAAGGAAGAAAAAATTATTTATAATATTTTACATAAGTGATACCTAAATTGTTCTTATATTTAATTTTCTCTTCTATCTTATTTATTCATATTTATAAAGTCCGCAAAATTGTGAAACAATTTCCATATTTTCTAACCCACAAAGGAGAAATAAAAAAAAAAAACTTAATCAAAGAGATCAAGAAATTAGTAAAGCAAAGAAAAACAAATCTCAAATAGTTGATACCTGGCGCTGACTACAATGATCACAAATCAGTAAACACAAATGATATCTTAATTATGCAGAAAAAGCTTTGTATATACAAAGCATGCATGGTGGTGCGTAGTGGGGTGACTCGTATGCATATAGTCTTTGTCTTCCACTTTGAGCCTCCTTTCTTACTTTAAAGTGAACCACTCTCTCTCCTTCCTTTTTCAATTTCACTTTCATATCAAAGCTCACTTCTCATCACACTTTTCATAATTCACCTATAAAAAAATAAATAAAAGAATAACAAGTAGGACAGATTTCTCGGCAAAATAATGCATCATTCATTGACTACCTCTCCGGTCTTCCTCCAACTTAATTACCAAAAGTTTAAGGCTTGTACCTGGGCAACTCCTATCTCTCCATCTCAAAACTGTTGCTGCCTGAGGTAATTTTTTTATTTGAAATTGATGACCCCCACAAGGAAGAGAAATTGGAGCTATCCAGAATTCAGTTATGCTATAACTCCAAGTTGACTGCTATGAATTTGTTTTGGTTAATTTGCTTAAGAGCTTGAAGGGTGTAGTGGAGATCAACTAGTACTTATGAGTTATGAGGGAGATTCAAGTGCATGTGCATGACTGAAGAGGATGGTCAACATGGAGCGAGTGATTTCCTCTTTCATGCATTTGTTTCTTCTTTGGGCAATTTTGGTGCTTCACTTGGTGCTCAAGGTTTCTGGCAATGTAGAAGGTGGGTGGTGGTGACCTTTTGCGCTTACTTACCTGTTGCTTGACTTGATGATTCTTTTTATTTTCCAGTTTTTTGTTGCTTTCAGTTGTATTATTATTTCTCTGTTTTAGAGTGAGTAATAAAACTGGAGAAGGAGTTAGTATGCAAAATTAAAACACAAATTAGGGGAATCAATTGAACAGAAAAAAGTTAAGAGAACAAAATTACTAATATCATTGCCTTTTGAAAATTTCTATGGCGTATTGATGCTTTATATGACTGACTACTTGGGTTGTTTGTCGGTTATAATTTATAAACTGAAAAATGTTTAATGTATGCTTGGGGAATTCTTGGGGAACTTGTTTTTACTTTCTGTATTTGACACAATTTCATTAGAGCAACATTAGTGTTGACAGGTGACACCTGTTTGATTTTTTACTTCTACCGATTTAATATATCAAGGATATTAATAATTGCGTTTGAATTTTTTTCTGACAGTTGATGCCCTGAATGCATTGAAGAACAGTATAAGTGATCCTAACAATGTTCTTAAAAGTTGGGATTCTACCCTTGCCACTCCTTGCGCATGGATTCATGTTACTTGCAACAATAAAAATAGTGTGACCCGTGTGTAAGATATCTAAGTTTTTTTTTTTTTTTTTACTTGTAGTTTTGTGTAAGTTTGTGCATATAGTGAAAGACGTATTTATGTTTGGCTAGTGATCTTGGAAATGCAAACCTTTCGGGTCATCTTGTTCCACAGCTTGGTCAACTCCCAAATTTGCAATACTTGTAAGTTGAAAAGTTATGAAACAGATAGATTTTGCTCAAAACTATTTCTTGGTTGACATTCAATTAACTTTTACTAGCAATTCTAGATTGTTTGGCTTCTAAAAGTCAATAAGATGACAATGTTATTTAGAAAATTTCCTAATGGTTCTTTATATACTTGTTAATTTATGTTAATGATATGTAAATTATATCAAGTGACATTTCCTTGTTCAAGGAGTTAAAAACTCAACTCAGCAATCAGTTTGTTTGTTTGAAAGAAGGAACTAGGTGTAGCTCAGCAAATCCTTGGTATGGAGATTCAGAGGGATCATCAAGCAGGAAAACTATCACAAAAGAAATACAATGAAAAGTACTTGAAATGCTTAATATGATTAATTGAAAACATGCTTCTACACCGTTTGCTGCACTTTTTTTAGTTATATTCAGACCCTTTCCCACAAGCAAGGAAGAGATGAATTGTATGTAACATATTCCTTATACTAATGTAGTTGACAGCTTTATGTATGCAATGATCTGCACTAATTTGGCATGTTACATAAAGATATATCTACAAATAGAATATTGGAGTGCACTGATTCAGATTGTGGTGGTGATCTGGATTGAAGATCTCTTTCTAGCTCTATGTTTAGTCTGTGTAGTTGTACTATCAGTTGGAAGGCTATGTACCAATCATTTGTTGTATTACCTACGACTAAAGTAGCACATATTGCAGCAACAAATATTATGAATGTGGCCACTTGGCTTCAAGGTTTGTTTAATGAATTTGGTCTAACACAAGATGCTCTTGTTGTATTTTGCAGTAGTGAAGGTGCCTACACACTTGACTAAGAATAATCGTTATCATATCACAACAAGACCAGCTAACATCACTTTATTTTAAAAGTCGTTGATAACGTTTTAGTGCAAGAGATTCACATGTTCAATAGTCCAGCAGATATACTTACTAAACTACTTTTGAATGTCAAGTTTCAACATTGCTTGGAATTGGTTAGCCTTTACCGCACTTGCCTGCCCCTTAAGGCTTTATATATGGTGATGAACAGCTAGTTTAATTTGAGTGAAGGTGGACACTATTAAGTGAATGATTCGAATTCCTCTCTTTAAAATCATTGATACTAATGGTTATAATTTAATTTTCATATAAATCATGATGCATTTGAATAGCCCAAAAGTTTAATGTTGCATGCAAAAGGTGGCTAAGCTATTTAAATTTTTTTTCATCAACTTGTAAGCTCATCATTTCATATTATTTCATTTCTTTAAGAGTTTTATTTATTCTTTATCCATGTTATTGCTGGAGGATGTGTTACTTTCCTTATCATAGTGGATTTACACTGCTTTCATTATATTTACTTATGTTCTTCTATTGATTCAATCTTGTACTTTTGCATGTAGTGCATGTTGGGATTATTTTTGTGGTATTTGTATGAAGGGATATTTTATGAAGGTTATTTTTATAAGGTTATTATATAAACATACTCCACAATGATGAGATATTGTCCGCTTTCGACCTAAGCCCTCACGGTTTTACTTTTGGTCATTACCCAAAAAGTCTCTCAATCATTGAGAAATATGTTTGTATATATATAAGTTGTTGTTATTTTTTGTCTTATTTTATCGATGTGAGACTTGTTGGAGTTATTTTATTAGTATTTGTCTGAGGAAATATTTTATGAGAATTATTTTTTTATAAGGTTATTACACAAACATATTCCACAATGATGAGATATTGTCCGTTTTAGGCCTAAGCCCTCACGGTTTTACTTTTGGTCATTACCCAAAAAGTCTCTCAATCATTGAGAAATATGTTTGTATATATATAAGTTGTTGTTATTTTTTGTCTTATTTTATCGATGTGAGACTTGTTTATATCCTAACAGTGCACTTACCTTGACAATTTCCGTAGTTCAATTTTTACCATATTTAGTTCTATTAGATTTTAACTTGTCATAAAATTGATACAAATGTGTTATGTAATTTTTATTTCTTTATTGGACCTTTTTCTCTACCCAAATCTGAACATTTTTCTTTTCATTGACAGGGAACTTTATAGTAATAATATAATTGGGGAAATCCCAGATGAGCTTGGAAGTTTGAAAAACTTGATTAGCTTGGATCTCTACTTGAACAACATTACTGGTCCCATTCCGGACAACTTGGCCAACCTTAAAAAATTGCGTTTCCTGTATGACATGTTTTCCTTTATCTCATGTCTATAATCAACAAAATTTATTTATTAAATCTGCTTCAATTTTGTTCCTTCGTTTAGCATTGATAAGTGTTGCTTTCCCACATAAAATGGTGGCAGATAATGCACCCAAAACATGGTTATTTCAATTCCATTACATTTTGTAATATACTTTAAGCACCCACCCACCACACTTGCTATTTAATGTTGTTTGTTGTCATGACTTGTTACTCTTCTCTGCCAATAGTTTATTATATGCAAACTAAATGGTTCTATTCCATAAACTAGGCGCCTCAACAATAACAGCTTGTCAGGAAATATTCCAATGCTATTGACCACTATTGCTTCACTACAAGAGCTGTGAGTTTTACTCCTATATCTATATAGGTGGCTATACTATTGTGTTATTTTGAGTAACCTGACATCATGTTCATTGTTGAATCTAGTGATTTATCCAACAACAACTTAACAGGAGATGTCCCAGTAAATGGTTCTTTTTCAGTTTTTACACTCATCAGGTTGGTACAAATAAATTGTATGTTTCAATAATCACACATTGGGAGAACCACACTACAACAAATAACCTATAACGACTATAGTAGTAGGAAAGCCCCATATAAACCTCATATTAGAATCTCGTATTTCTGATGTGGGCCACATTACTATATTATTATTGAGGGATGAGATATCAAAGTTTAATTAAACCCTTTATTTTTTTGTTGCAGTTTTAAGAATAATCCTTTATTGAATCAAACCACTTTGACTCCACCAGCTCCTACACCACAAAAAAATCCTTCAGGTTTGTTCATATTTGTTTTATTATTGGTAATGAATTTAATTTTTCAAAGAATAACCTGACCTGAAAGAATATGCTAAAAATATAGCTACTAAATTACTCTCATGTGAGTCCAATGTTCTTGAAATGTGGAAAAGGGGCAACAGCCAACAATCAAACTCTACATCACTAGGTCAACTAGAATTTGATACCGTGTAACTTAAACCACCAAAAGAGACACAGACTCAATAATAGTGTATAACTCAAAATTAATACTATGTAAAAGGTTTTCAAATTCAATTTTGTTTCTTTAACAAGTTGAATCCACTCCATTCTTTTCCTTGATACTAATATTTTCTTCCTCCTTTGCTGCCAAAGGGCAGGGAGAAATGAAGGTATTGATAATGGATAGGTTGCATGGTTATATTCCAAATGCTTTTTGTTTTTATTCTAATTGGGGTGCTACTTTTGGATTTTTGTTTGGTATCCCAACAGAATATATGTCACTCATGTTGAACATTACTCTATCATATTCAATGGGAAGCAAAGTTTTGGAATTGAGTTATAGCTTCCTGTTTAATTCTGTTGATCCTTATAGGTAATGGTAGCAGAGCTATTGGAGCCATTGTTGTAGCCATTGTAGCCATTGCTGGAGGAATTGTTGTGGGTGTTGCACTGTTGTTTGCGGCCCTTGTAATTGCACTTTATTGGAAAAAAAGGAAGCCACGTGATTATTTCTTTGATGTAGCGGGTTAGTTGATTTATAGAAGAGATGATTATATATATATATATATATATATATATTAAGTTGTATATGATAACCATAACTGATTTTTGTGACCTTCACGGGCAGCTGAGGAGGATCCTCAAGTTCACCTTGGTCAACTTAAAAGGTTTTCACTACGTGAATTGGTAGTTGCAACCGATGGCTTTCATAACAAATACATTCTTGGTAGTGGTGAATCTGGCAAGGTTTATAAAGGACGCTTATCAGATGGTAGCCTTGTAGCTATAAAAAGACTTAAAGTGGAACGCACCCAGGATAGGGAGTTGCAGTTTCAAACTGAAGTGGAAACGATCAGCATGGCTGCACATCAGAATTTGCTTCGCCTGCTTGGGTTTTGTATGACACCTACTGAACGCTTGCTTGTGTATCCTTACATGGTTAATGGAAGTGTGGCTTCAAGTTTACGAGGTACCCTTATTAGTCTACCCTATTGACACATTCAACCAATTTTGTTTCACCACATCATTTAATGTGATCAAAATAGAGAATACAAATCAGCTCTTCTTCTAATAGAACAATATCAATTAATGTGTGAAACTTCAAAATGTTTTTATGTATATTGATCGTATTTTTGTAGACCGTAGGAAATCACAACTACCACTTGAATGGGGAATGCGGAAGCGTATTGCTCTTGGGGCTGCTAGGGGGCTTGCTTATTTGCATGATGGTTGTGACCCAAAGATCATTCATCGTGATGTCAAAGCTACAAATATATTGTTGGATAAATACTTTGAAGCAGTCATTGGTGATTTTGGATTAGCAAAGTGTATGAATTATAAAGACACTCATGTTACTTGTTCAGTACGTGGTACTATTGGCCATATACCACCAGAGTACCTCTCAACTGGAAAAGCTTCAGATAAGACTGATGTTTATGGATATGGCGTGCTGCTTCTAGAAATAATAACTGGACAGAAATCTTTTGCTTTAGCACAACTCGCCAATGATCATGGTCTCTTGTTCCTTGATTGGGTTGGTATTATGTTTATTACTAAAGATATGCCATTAATTATTAGTACTTATTGTTCAATTGGCAGCCATATGTATTTTTCTTAATATTATGAGATTAAAGATGATCCAGTGGAAATGGAAGGAAATCATACTAATGAAGGAAATATTTTTGCACTAAATATTATTGATTACAATTCCAGTTCTTTTTATTTCTTGATTGCTCATGAAGGTGTAATCGATAAGTTTAGTACAGTGTTAAAGTTCTTTTTTATTGTTGTTATACATTCCCAGTTGAAGTTTTGAAACCTCTTTAGTTCGCTATTCTAGTTTTGTTTTGTTGTACAACTAGTCGATGTTATGTTGCTTGATTGGGTAGGAATTATCTTATTACTAAATATGCTGTTAGTACTTTGTTCAATTAGCAGACATGTATTTTCCTAAATATTATGAGGTTTAAGATAATCCAATTAAAGGAAATCATACTTTTAAAGGAAATATTTTTGCATCAAATATCGTTAATGTGAATTCCAGTTTTTCTCATGAAGGTGTGATTGATAAGTTCAGTACAAGACAAGGTGTCATCTTTTTGTCATTTTTATACATTTCTAGTTGAAGTTTTGAAACCTCTTTTTATTTCCTATTCTGGTTTTGGTTTTTGCTTTGAAAATAAAATACAAAATTGATTTGGTTGTTCCTATTTCTGTCCTGGATTATGGAATCTCATTTTCCAAGTTTTTGTTTAGTTTGTTTGTGTTACATCAGTTATGTACTGATATTATAGCATCAATGGCTAATGATTTTTGTTTTGAAATGGCATTATTTTGACCCCAGGTGAAAGTACTTCTTAAAGAGAAGAGGTTGGAAACACTGGTGGATGCAGATTTAGAGGGGAATTTTGAGGAGGGGGAAGTAGAAGAGGTAATCCAAGTGGCTTTGCTCTGCACACAGAGCTCCCCTTCGGAAAGACCCAAGATGTCTGAGGTGGTGAGAATGCTAGAAGGTGAAGGTTTGGATGAAAAGTGGGATAAATGGTGGCAAAAAGAGGATATGATCAAACAAAATTTCGACCCCACCAATCTCCACACAACTTATTCGCCATTATTTGACTCAACTTCAGATATTCCGCTAGATGATGAACTACCAAGTCCTAGATGATATTTGAACATAAAGAAACTTTTAAATGATGAAACATTTAGCTTATTTTCCTGTCATTTATTGGTATATATTGCTTTCTTTATAGTCTTATTTAAGGATAGCAAATGGATGGATCGAATAATTTTTTTAAATATATTATAATGATTCAGATAAAAATAATATATTAATCTATTTACATCCATTAAAAATTTACAAGGAGAATGATAATAAGGAGGATGCATATAGACCTTCTGTGAATTCACCACGAAGGAAGATACTTTTAACATCCATTTAATAAAGCTTCTATTTACAAATTGTAACAATAGCTAAAAGACTACAAACAAAATGTTACTCGAGCCACGGGAACAAAAGTTTTCTCGTAGTCTATCCCATATTCTTGAGTATATCCTTAACTACTAAGCAAGCTTTTTAACACTCAACAAATCCATTAGAATGAGTCTTAATTTTATAGATCCATTTGCATCCAACTGGGGTCTTATTAAGAGGAAGATTAGCAACTAAGTCCTAAGTGTAGGTTTTCTCCAAAGCATGGATTCCCTCAAACATAATTTGTTGTCAAAGGGTCAGTACTAGCCTCACGATAAGATGAAAGCTCGTGCAAATTCACAATAGCAAAATAACAATGAAAATTGTTAAGATGTTTAGGAGTTTCTCTTACTCGAGTGGAATGACGAAAGGTAGATTCAAATGTAGTTACAGGATCGATAATCGAAACAAGTTCAATAAGCTTAGGTGGAAGAAGGTCCATGTTGAGCACATCAGAAGGGCATGTATCTCTATTAGAGCCTGGAAACATCTCCATTGAGGAATCAGAAGTGTTGAAACTTAGACAACGAGGAGAATAAGGTATGTTCCTGAAAGGTAACATGGCAAGAGATACGTAATTTGTTTGAAATGGGATCTCAACAATAATATCCTTTATGTTCAATGCCATGACCAAGAAAGAACATAAGCAAGCATAAGGTCCAAATTTTGTGCGCTCATATGAGATTGCAAGAGAACAAAACAAACATACCCAAAGGTTTTAAGGACTGAATAGTGAGGAGGCTTACCAAACAATTTTTCAAAAGTAGACAAATTTTGTAGAGTTGAGGTGAGAAGACAATTGATGGTGCAAAAGACATTAAGAGCAGCTTCCCCCAAAACTTTTCTGGACATGAGGCGGATAAGAGAAGAGCACAAATAGAGACGAGAATATAACGATGTTTTTGTTCAACTCAACCATTTTGTTGAGATGTGTGAGGACAAGACCATTTAGCAATAGTACCTTGTTGATTAAGAATTTGAAGCAAACAAGTATTGTGATATTCCATCGCATTATATCTATGAAAAAAGTGTTAATAGTACAAGAAAATTTAGTTTTAATCATCTTTGCAAAGTTGATATAAATTTAAGGTAATTCAAATTGATGTTATAGAAAATATATCCACTGGGAAAAATCATTAACAAACAAGACAAAATAATGAAAATCATTTATTGAAGAAATAAGGGAAAAGATCCTAAATGTTAGAATGAATCAGACCAAAACATTTGTCAGAAATGGAATCACTCTTTGTAAAAGGTAGTGCAAGTTGTTTATCAAGTTTACAATTTAAGCAGTCAAAGGACTCAAACTTCGTAGATCCTAATAAACCACTAGAAACTAAAGGATAAATTTTGCTAGTTAAGAGATGACCATGTTGAAGATGCCATTGGTAAATTGTAGAAGGGACAGTAGCAACAGACACAAATTTTTGAGGAAGATGCAAGGATTGAAGCTCAAATAATCGACTAACCCTACAACTCGTCCCAAGAATTTATTTCGTTTGAGGATCCTGTACTTGTACACCAAAAGGTGAAAAGAGAACATTTGGTCCTTTTTCACAAATTGACCAATAGAGATAAGATTGAGTGTCAAGTTAGGAATGTAATAAGTGTTAAGGAGACTGAGATTGAAGGTAGATATATGGTCGTATAAGTAATTGTTAAAGTAGTAAAACTTTTCCTTTATTTTTTACTGCTATAATTAATTATGATTGTTTGCATTAGTGAGTAAAGTTCTGTTGTAATTATGTTTGCTTAATTCAGTAGATAATATCTTGTTAAGTATCTGATTTTAGGCAAATCTACACACTTAATGATGGTGGAAAAATGTGTTTTACTGATAGCATTTATGGGCTCTATGTATGGCTGTCATTTTTTCATGTATTTGCCTTATACATGAATGAAAAACAAGCAGAATGGTATGGTTGTTCAGCAAATAAGAAATTGCTTTGTTCCCTAAATAAATTTTAAAATTGATTTGTAAAGAGAAATGACATGAAAATTAAGATATTAAGTTTTCACTTAAAATAACTAATTATCTTAAGTAATAATTGATTATTTGTTCTGTTTTCTTAGTAACATGAGGAGTAGTTGCTGTAATAATTGATTATTTAACAAAATAATTAATTAAACTACTCTTTATTGATTTCTAGATCTGCTAAAAATAGAATAATCGATTATTTATGTTAGAAAAGTTATATATATATATATATATATATATATATCATTTTTCACACTTAGAATAGAGAGACTTGAATCCTTGTGATATCTTTTTTGAAAACACACTCTAGGAAAACATTTTTTTTTGCAAGAAGAGATTTAGTAACCTTTGTAGTAACCTCAAGAAAGATTTCAAGAATTGAATTGATCATCATGAATAGGATAAGCTACTTGGTTGATTCATCTACTCTAATTTGTTTTGTACATCAAGTGAGTTTGTTCCTTAACTTTTATATTTTGTTTTCTTAAGTAGGTTTCTTAAGAAAGAAAATCTTGTAGTGAGGTGCTACAAGTAAATGTTTCTTGAGGTGCAAGAAATGATTTATTTAATAGTGTAGAAGTGTATTGCATGTGGTATTATGATTGTAAAACTTCTGATATTAAAGATTAGTGAAAAATCTCAATCGGGTTGATTAGGTACTCGATGTAAGTCATAAGTAGATGTGACCAAACCAGTATAAATTGGTTTTGTATTTTTCTCTCTCCCTACACTTAAATTTACTTTCTTACAATTATGTTTTTATGTTTGTTGTTACGTGTTATGAGGCTGTTTGAGGGGAATTTTGCATGTGGAATAAAAATTCAAATTAGCAAAAATACTTTTCAATTTAGATATGTACTATTAGATTCTTGTTAGGAACGGAAATGGAGGTTATACAATGAATTCAACATGCATGGATTTTCAAACATTCATTGATAGTTATCACAAAATAAGTCTCATGTATGCAAATGTTTACTTGAATTGAGTGAATAACATAAACATTAACAACATAATTCATAGCTTGTTTCACATAATTGTTGAGTTACAACTTGCAATGATTCTGGAAAGCAAATAAACTCTAATAACTGCGCTATACTAAATTAAGATAATCCTAAGAAAAGAAAAGAAATGTGGCTAAGAAGTCATACCCAGCAATCTCGTATACGGAAGTTATATGCGTAGACAATGAATGCTTGTGAGAATTCTCAAGTATGATTTTAATGCATGGTGGTGCGAATACTTGTACTTGTGTAGTTTTTCACCTTGACACATGTCAGCCCAATACATTGTTGGACCTAAAATAAATCTTAAAGTCAAACTTTTAATTAATAATAATATATTTTTTTAAAAAAAAAAGATATGAACCTTGAAAATGATAATTATATTTATATATCTTTTAGATATTAACTTTTTTTAAAAAATTTAAGAATATAAAAAAAAATATTTTTAAAATTATAGATCTTGGAAAAATGATATAAATATTAATACAAAATATTTTGTTTAAGAAACCCAAAGCAGGAACCTTATTAGTTTTATGTTTGGGCTGACCTTGCTTTTGCCACGCACAAAAGAATAACAAGTAAGACATATTTCTTAGCATATAAGATTCATTGACTTGACTCTCCCAACTTACCATAAGTTTAAGTACATGTACATGGGCAACCATATATCTCTATCTGAAAACTGTTGCACCATTTTAATTTCAATTTGCTTATGGGCTTGGAGGCTATGGTAGTGAAGATCAACTAGCAGTATGTGCGCATGATTGAAGATGGAGCCAGTTATTAATTTTTCATCTTACATGCGTTTCTTTCTTCTTTCGGCATTTTTGATGCTTCACTTGGTCTTGGTGCCTAACGTTTCTGCCAATAGAGAAGGTGGGTGACCTTTTGTGCTTGCTGCTTGACGCTTGACTTCATGATTCTTATGAGTTAAATGTTTTTATCTTTCAAAAATTTACTCCATTTATTAATTTCAGTTTCTTGAATTTTTTATTTATTAATTTTAGTCTTTTAAATTTATATAATATATATTTTTAATTGTAGGATTTCAGGCTCACCTACCGGAACGGCCCGTTCCAAAATTGGAACGCCCGTTCTGGACCCTTCAAACCTATGCAAATTTCTCAACTGGAACGGCCCGTTCTAAAACCGGAACGGCCCGTTCTCAAACTCAGCAGAACGGCTCGTTCTGTTTCCGGAATAGCCCGTTCTCCCTCCAGAACGGCCCGTTCTCCAAACCAGAACGGCTCATTCTCCAATTGGAACGGCCCGTTCTCCCACTTCATTTTCCAAGCATTTTCTTATTCTGAAACGGCCCGTTTCACTTTTGAAACGGCCCGTTCCGGGCAACGAATTGGGCCCTTGGCCTAGCAAAAAATTGGACTGTTACAAAGTGAATAATAAAATTGAGTTAGTATATAAAAACAAAAAAGTTAACATATGACAAAATTGAAACCGATCTTTATAATTTAGAGGACAAAATATTAATACTTCCTCTTGAAAATTTCTATGGTGTATTGGTGATTTAGATGACTAGCTTGGGTTTTTGTCGGTTGTAAACTGAAAAAATATGTTTGATGTGTGCTTGGGGAGTTCTTGAGGAACTTGGGCTTCTTCAGTTTACTTCCTGTATTTTTAACATTATTTCTTCAGAGCAACATACATGTTGATACCTGTTTGATTTTTTACTCCATTTGATTTCATATAATACTATGACAGGTGATGCCCTGAATGCTTTGAAGAAAAGTATTAGTGATCCTAACAATGTTCTTCAAAGTTGGGATTCTACCCTTGTCACTCCTTGCACATGGTTTCGTGTTACTTGCAACAATAAAAATAGCGTGACCCGTGTGTAAGATATCTATGTTTTTTTTTTTTTTACTTGTAGTTTTGTGAAAGTATGTGCATATAGTGAAAAACGTATTTATGTTTGGCTAGTGATCTTGGAAATGCAAACCTTTCGGGTCAACTTGTTCCACAGCTTGGTCAACTCCCAAATTTGCGATACTTGTAAGTTATGAAACAGATAGATTTTGCTCAACAATATATCTTGATTGATATTCTATTATTGTTTGGCTGAAACTCTGAAACAGATGTGATTAGGCAAGGTTATTCTTAAAGTCAATAAGATAATTATGATATTTAGAAATTTTCCTAAAGGTTCTTTTATATACTTGTTACTTTATCCTAATGATATGTTGATTACATCAAGTAACATTTTCTTAATTAATCAAGAAGTTAAAATCTCAACTCGGTAATCAATTTGAGATTTTGAAAGAAAGAGTGCAACTATGAAAATCCTTGGTATATATGGAGATTCATACCTTCAAGCAGGAAAAGTATTCTTATCACAAATTGAAAAAGTTCTTGAAATGTTTAAATGATTAATTGAAAACCTGTTTCTACATCGTTTGCTGCACATTTTTAGTTATCTTCATACCTGCCCTCAAACAAGGAAGAAATGAATTGTATGTAACATATTCCTTGTACTAATGTAATCGACAGCTCTATGTATGCTTTAGTGAGCACTAGGCCTAATTTAGCATATGTTACATAGAAAAAAGATATAGCTAGAAATAGAATGTTGGTGTGCACTATTTCAGATTACGTGGTGATCTAGATCAAAGATCTCTTTCTAGTTAAATCTTCACTTTGTGTTGAGATACACTTTGTGTTGAGATACAAATCAAGCCTCTCATCATTAGGAAAAGAGAAGAAATAAATGTTTATAAAGTACACTCATATTTTATTGGTTAGAGATCTTTTGAATGATGACTAAAAACAAAATCATGAAGATGAGTATAAAATAGACAATATCTTATTAATGTGGAGTTGTGTTATAATCTAACAAACAATAAGATATAATCCTCCTAATAACACATTCAAACAAATAAAATAAAATACTTTGACAAAATCTTTTAAATGAGATTAGATCCTTTGTTTGGGGAAATAATTATTGGAATAAGAATCAGGTCTCACATTATTAGAACGAGAGAAGAAATAAAATTTTATAAAATGCACACATATACTTCATTAGTTAGAAGTCTTTTAAATAATGATTAAAAGCAAAATCATGAAAGTATAAGTCCAAATTCGACAATGTTTTATCAATGTAGAATTGTGTAAAATAACCCAGCAAATAATAAAGAAGATATAACCTCTCTTAATAAATTTATCTCTCTCAAACAAATATCATAACACAGTTCTAACACTACTTAGTGGTGCTAACATTACCTACAACTAAAGTACACACATATTGCAGCAACAAATGGTATGAAATGAGGCTATTAAGGTTTGGTTAATGAATTTGGTCCAACAGGAGATGTTCATATTGTATTTTGTGGTAGTCAAAGAGCCAATTCACTTCACTAAGAATAGTCGTTATCTTAATTCTTATCACAACAAGAGCAAAAACTTTGATGTAAAACACCACTTTATTCGAGATGTTGGTAAAGTTGTAGCGCAAGAGATTCACATGTTTCATAATCCAACAAATATACTTACTAAACTACTTTTGAATGCCAAGTTTCAACATTGCTTAGAGTTGGTTAACCTTAACTACACTTGTCGCTCCTTAAGGCTTTTTATCACTGATGAGGTTTTTTCGCAAACCTACCACTTGGCAAGTGAACCAAGTTTTGAAGTAGTATTCAAATATCGTCCTCAGGGATTTGAGTGTTTAGAAATTCTTACTCTAATGATTTAAATAAAATTGTTGTTATGATTGCAAATGAGTGAAAATAGGATAGAACCACACAATAAACTAGAAGTAGTAAAAACAATGATTAAGAAACAAGGATTGGTTCAGAAGCACTTGCTAACTCGTAGATCTTCTTAAAATAAATGCGATTCTAATTCCATTATTTCCACGTTCATTAAGTAATCCAACAAGATTCCTCAAGGTTGAATCCTAAAGTCATTAAGCTCAAAACATGATTCCTCTATGTTTCGAGTTTAACACTTCGCATTAAGAACAATGACTTGAACAATGTGACTAACCAAATCAAGTCTATTCCTAAAACAAGAAGTGATTAGGTGCAAGATTCAGTTCGGGTTTTCGAAAACGTTTTCCAACTGGATTCAAAAGCCAAAAATCATACAACGGATGATCAAGCCGATATAAGCATTAAGAGAAAAATCAATGCACAAATAATGAGATCAAAACGCATATATTTAAGAAGAAGAAGAATTAGTAGTTACATCTAACCAATCCTTAAGGAGTTTAGCCACACATGGCCATTACAAGATCAAAGAGTGAAAAGAAGAAATTACAAAGCAAAGGATGAAGAAATGGAATTGATCTTCGTTCCCAAAGGATTCAGCTTCCAAATCTTTGTTCTCCCCTTGTTCTTCCTTCTTCAAGTGCTTAGTAATCTATTTTTTTCTGTATATTTCGTGCTCTGTATCCTCCCTCAATTTCTCTTATGTTCCCTTTTATATCAGCTTCAAAACAAGGCCAAAAAGTAACTTTTATTTCCACGGCTGCAGCTATAGATCCACGGCTATAGCTGTGGAGAGTCCTTCAGGGTGAAGAAACCTCCAAGGCTGCAGCTGTGGTTTCACAATTATAGCTGTGACAACTCCTTCAACCTTAAGGAACTTCCAACGCTCAAGCGGTGCAGCCACAGCTATGGCTGTGAGTCTCTGGAGTTGGTGTTGGGTCCTGGGTGCTTCCATGGCTTTAGCTGGAAATCCACAGCTTTAGCTTCAACTCTCTGGAGCTTCAAATTGCATTTCAGATTTCCACAGCTATAACTTCAAGTCTCTGGAACAAAAAATGAGCATTCCAGATTTCCACAGCTATAGCTGCAGAACCACAGCTATAGCTGCAAGTTTCTGACCTTCACAATTTCTCCCCAGATTTCCACAGCTCGAGCTCCAGATCCACAGTTATGGTTGTGGATCTCTGCCTTCCTAAAAAACCTACAAAAGATGAGGAAATTCCTTAAGATTTTGCTACTACTCCTCTACTCTTTTAGTATAACTTGATTCTTTAAACAAAGGGGGGTAAAATAACATATATAATATCTACAATTACCAAAAAGAGTACCAAAAGTTGAGTGTAAATCATACATAAAAGACACTCAACAATCACTACAATAAAATGGACTTTTAGTGGCATTTAATATGATCTTTAGTGACAATAAAAATTGCTACAAAATTTTTTACCGGCATTTCACACATTAGTCATTGTATGCAGTGTCGCTAAAACATTTACCGACAATTATTCTATATGTCGGTAAAGACCCTCATAATGGTCGGAAAAAGTGTATAACTTTTTGTGTCATTTGTTACTGGTATTTAAAATTTTCGCTAAAAGTTTAAGAAAATATTTATAATACTCTTTAAAGATGAGTACAAATACTCTTTAGTTACCTTATTTCTAATTGATATGGGACTTAGAAGATGAAGGTTATCTTCTAAGTATATATTCTTTAATTTTTTTAATTATCTTATCTCTTAAATACTAACTTAGAATAGTAAGTTATAAGCCTAACTCAACCTTATAAAACATATTTGTAAGGTGAGAGTTATTATTCACTTATATACTCCTTAATTATTTTATTTCTAGTCAATGTGGGACTTAAGTTTTTTCTAACAAATAATTGTCGCTAATAATAAATTTTGATATGACGTAAATATATTTTTAGTGGCCATTATATAGTAGTCATTAATATTTTTATTAAATAATAAAATAGAGACAATTAATTTATTGTCATTAAATAATTGTCGGTAATACTAAATTTTGTTGTAGTGTATGTTGATGGGCAACTGGTTGAATTCGAGTGAAATGGAGACTGTTAAGTGGATGATTCAAATTCTTCCACTCTTTAAAACAATTGATACTAACGGTTATAATTTAATTTTCCTATAAACCTCGGTTCATGTGAATGGTCCAAAAGTTTTCTTTTCGCCTGTAAAATATGGCTACGCTATTTAAAGTTTTTTCGTCAATTCATATTATTTGTTCTTTATCCACATCATTATTAGAGGATTTGTGTTACTCTGCTTTTCATATAGGAATTATAATGTTTTCATTCTATTTACTTAAATTCTCCTATTGATTCAATCACGTGCTTTTGCATTGCACACGTACCTCGACATTTTCTGTAGTTCAATTTTTTATTAGATTTTAACCCGTCATAGCATTGATACAAGTGGATATGCAATTTTTATTTCTTCATCGTACCTTTTTATCTACCCAAATCTAAACATTTTTTCTTTTCATTTACAGGGAACTTTATAGTAATAATATAACTGGGAAAATCCCAGATGAGCTTGGAAGTTTGACAAAATTGGTGACCTTGGATCTTCACTTGAACAACATTACTGGTTCCATTCCAGACAACTTGGCCAACCTTAAAAATCTACGTTTCTTGTATGACATGTTTTCCTTTACCTCATATCTATAATCAGCAAAACTTATTCAAATCAGTTTCAATTTTGTTTCTTCGTTTAGCATTCATAAGTGTTGCTTTCCCATATAAAGTGGTGGTAGATTATGCACCCAAAACATGGCAATTTCAGTTCCAACACTTGCAATATACTTTGAGCACTTGCCCAAGAGAAGTATCATTCTACATAATCACATGAAATGGATGGCTTATTAAAGCATACACCCACCACACTTGCTACTTAATTATTGTTGCCATGACTTGTTACTCTTCTCTGTCAATGGTATTTTATATGCAAACTAAATGGTTGTGTTCCCTGAACAAGGCGTCTCAACAATAACAGCTTGTCAGGAAAAATTCCTGTGTGTTTGACCACTATTGCTTCACTACAAGTGCTGTGAGTTTTACTCCTATATACACTTAAATTTTTATACTTGCACTGCATTATTTTGTGTAACCTAACACAATGGTCATTGCTGAATCTAGTGATTTCTCAAACAACAACTTAACAGGAGATATCCCCATCAATGGTTCTTTTTCACTTCTTACTCCCAACAGGTTGGTACAAATATAATTGTTTTTCACCAGCACATAATGGGAGAAACACAATTCAATAGTTAGCCTTACCTATAACCATTATAGTTGGAGGGTCCAACATAAGCCTCACATCAAAATCCCATATTTTCTGACTTGGGACACGTTACTATTATTATCAAAGGATGAACTGAGATATCAAAATTTTACCATGTATACCCTTTGTTTTTTGTTTCAGTTTTAAGAATAATCCTTTATTGAATCTAAATATGACTGCACCAGCTCTTACACCGCAACAAAATCCTTCAGGTTTGTTGATATTTGTTTTATTGTTGGTAATGAATTTAATTTTTCAAAAAATAACCTGACCTAAGCATATGCTAAAAATACAATTCTTGAATCCCTCTCTCATGTGAGTTCATCGTGATTGAAATGTGGACAGAATATAGTCTTACAATTAAAATTAAAAGCAAATTAACTTTGTTTTAAAATCGTAAGACTAGAGACAACAATCAAACTCTACACCACTGGGTCAACTAAAATTTGTTACCATGTAAAATTAACCAATGAGAGAGGCAAAGGTTCAATAACGGTGTTATGCAACTCTCCATTAATATTATGTAAAAGATTTTCAATTTTGGTGGTAATTTACTTTTGTTTCTTTAACAAGCTACATATCCACTTCATTCCTTTCCATACTACAAATATTGCCTTCATTCTTTTCTGACAAAAAACATAAGAAGAAACCAAGGTATTGATAATGGATAGGTTGCATGGTTTCTTTTCAAATGTTACTTTATAATTTTGGTTTTCTCCAATTGGGATGCTACTTTCGGGTTTCTGTTTGGTCAAATGCTACTTTAAAATTTTGGTAACAGAATGTCACTCATGGTCAAATTCAAGAAAGAGAGTTAATCATAATGTTGATCTTTTTTCTATTCTATTCAATGCTAAGCAAAGGTTTGGAATTGATTTATAGTTTCCCTTTTAATTATGTTAATCTTTATAGGTAATGGAAACATTGTTATTGGAGCCATTGTTGGAGGAGTTGCTGTGACTGTTACACTGTTGTTTGCCGCGGCCCTTGTGATTACACTTGTTTGTTGGAATAAAAGAGGGAAGCCAAAGGATTATTTCATTGATGTTGCCGGTTAGTTGATTACAAAAAACATGGTATATAAACTGATTTAAGCTGTTAGTTGCATATGATAATCATAACTGATTTTTGTGTGTCCGTCATTGGAAGCTGAGGAGGATGATCATGAATTTCACCTTTCTCAGCTTAAAAGATTTTCACTGCGTGAACTGCAAGTTGCAACAGATAGCTTTGATAACAAAAACATTATTGGTAGAGGTGCATTTAGCAAGGTCTATAAAGGACGCTTAACAAATGGTGAGCTTGTATCAGTAAAAAGACTTAAAGAGGAACGCAAGCAGGGTGGGGACTTGCAATTTCAAACTGAAGTGGAAATGATCGGCATGGCAAAACATCCAAATTTGCTTCGCCTGCATGGGTTTTGTATGACACCTACTGAACGCTTGCTTGTGTATCCTTTCATGGTTAATGGAAGTTTAGCTTCATGTTTACGAGGTACCCTTATTAGTCTACTTTGTTGAGTTTCTAATGAAGACATGCATTGCCCTTTTTACTAATTTACCTCGATTTGTTTCCACATATTCATCCTATTCTGTTTGATCACATCCTTTAGTGTGTTCAAAATAAAGAATCCTAATCAACTTTTGTTGAAAACTGAACATGAAAAACCAAAGTGCATGACTAAGCACAAAAATAACATATTGAAATAAGAAAATATGCAATTTTACATATAAAAAAGGATAAAAATTAATATGATATATTTGAATTATAAACTCAGTTATGCACATATTTAAGGTGTTTATGACAAGTGTTTAATTACTAAAATTGATTAATTTTTGATTGGGTAAAACACAATAAATTATAATTAAACTAACAAACAAATATTATTTGTATGCACAAATGATTTAATTCCTTGAAAGTTGCAACATCATGAATCATATGATTTGTGCATCTGCACTCTATAAGCATACATATTTGCTATTACTAGTTGAAAAATAAAAGTAGCAACAAATAAATGTTTTTCGTGTTATTCTTCATGCTCTACAATTTGGACTTGATGTTCCTATGGGTTTGCTTTACTTTTACAAACCTTCTTCACATGACCAAAATGATTGTAGACTTTACATTTAATGTTTTCCCTAAACATTAAATTTTTTTAAGTATAGATGTTTTTTCTTACGATAACGACACGGTGGAAACTTGTTTTTCTAACCTTTTCCTTTGTTGTCTTCTTCCTATTTTTTGCCTCTTGCACATGCTACAAATGCACATTCAATATTTTCTTCCATCCTTAAAGATCTTCTTTGTTCAATGGCTTGCAAAGCATTCACAAGTTCTACAATTGATATTGAGAAAAATCTTTATTTTCTTAAGAGAGAAGATTCTGGATTCAAACTTCTCACCAAAAGACACACCAAGATTTTTTCTGCAACTCTTTGATCATTAAGCTTTTCACCAAGTAATCTAATTTGGATAAAAATCTTCAAAAGTTTGTTAGTAAAACCTTTGACAGATTCAGTTTCTTTTATCTTTACTACTTTAAACTGTATCCTTAAGTTAAGCACATGCTTTCTTTTCATTTTTTTCACTCCCTTGAAACTCCTCCCACAGCTTATCCCATGCCTATTCTGAAGTTTCAAGAGTTAGAATCTTGATAAATACATATCATGTAGTGTTGCCCGTATAATGGTAGGAGTTCTTCCTTCTTTTGTTATTTTATCATTGTGACTCCTCATTTGAGCTACTGTAGGTTCTTTGATAATGGAGGTGGATTACTTCCATGTTCCACCATAGCCCACAAACTTTGAGCTATGAGATAAATTCTCATTGTCACAACCCACAAGTGATAGTTTTCACCTACAATCATATGAGGTGAAGGTAAAGAACTATTGCTAGAAGCTATTTTTGTGTTTTAAGGTTTTTTTTGTATGAATTTTCTTATTGTTTTTTTCTCTTTGTTTTTTATTTTTTCTCTCGCACAAGTCCTTAAAGATCAATGAAGCTTTGATACCATGTTGAAAACAAAACATGAAAAATAGGAGTGTATGACTAAGCACAAAAATAACATATTAAATAAGAAAATATGCAACTTTAGACATACAAAAGTGGCAAAAACCAATGATATATTTGAGTTATAAACTCTCCTTTGTACATATTGAAAATATTTACAGCAAGTGCTTAAATATTAAAATTAACTAACCTCTCATTAAGTAAAGCAAACAACAACTTATGACTAAACTAACAAATATTATTTGTCTACACAACTTATTTTTTCTAAACATAAATAATTATTAATCAAACTTATAAGCAAAACAGAAAATTACTAAAACTTTAAAATATTTAATTATGAAAGTGAAAAAATCTCAACTGTTAATAACTTTTTTGGTAGATAATGCAAAATCAATTAAAATATCTAATGTTAAATTTCAAAATGTATTTTCAAATTAAAATTGTTTTTATTCATATTGATTATATTTTTGTAGACCGTCCGGAATCAAAACCACCACTTAAATGGCCAACAAGGAAGTGTATTGCTTTGGGAGCTGCTAGAGGGCTTGCTTATTTGCATGATGGTTGTGACCCAAAGATCATTCATCGTGATGTCAAAGCTGCAAATATATTGTTGGATGAGGAGTTTGAAGCATTCATTGGTGATTTTGGATTAGCAAAGCTTATGAATTATAAAGATACTGATGTTATTTCTTCGATACGTGGTACTATTGGTCATATGGCACCAGAGTACCTTTCAACTGGAAACACTTCAGATAAGACTGATGTTTTTGGATATGGTGTGATGCTTCTTGAAATAATAACTGGGCAGAGGGCTTTTGATTTAGCACAACTTGCCAATGATGATGATCTCTTGTTCCTTGATTGGGTAGGTATTGTGTTTATTGCTAAAGATATGCTATTATTAGTACTTCTTGTTCAATTAGCAGCCATGTGTATCATTCTAAATATTATGAGGTTAAAGATGATCCAATGGAAGGAAATCATTCTGCTGAAGGAAATATTTTTGCACTAAATATTATTAATTTCAATTCCAGTTCTTTCTATTTCTTGATTTCTCATGAAGGTGTAATCGATAAGTTTAGTACATAGGATGAACAGATCTTTTTTATTGTTGTTATACATTCCTGATTGTAGTTTTGAAACCTCTTTTGTTCCCTATTTTGGTTTTGATTTGTTGTACACAACGAGGCTTTTGCTTTGAAAATAAAATACAATATTGATTTGGTTGTTCCAATTTCTGTCCCAGATTCTAGAATCTCACTTTGCAGGTTGGAATTTAGTTTGTTGTTGCATCAGCTATATACAAATATTAGCACCAACAACTAATGATTTATTTTGATCAAGGTGAAAGCACTTTTGAAAGAAAAGAGGTTGGAGACACTGGTGGATGCAGATTTACGAGGAAATTACGATGAGAGGGAAGTGGAGGAGGTAATCCAAGTGGCCTTGCTATGCACACAAAACTCCCCTTTGGAAAGACCCAAGATGTACGATGTGGTGAGAATGCTAGAAGGTGAAGGTTTGGCAGAAAAATGGGATGAATGGTGGCAGAAAGAGGATGTGAATTATGTGATCCAGCTAGATTTTGACCCCACCAATTCTTGTTGCCAATCATCAGATGAAATGTCAGGTCCTAGATGATCTTTGAACAAAAACAAACTTCTTCAAGAATGAAACATTTACCAAATGGAGAGACTCTTTGTACAAATAAAAAGTTTCTCTCAGATGAAAAATATTTAACAAAAAGATACCTTTTCAATTTTATATATATATATATATATATACATAGAATTCCTCTGTATTTAATATTATTTTGAGAATGAGTTGTAAATCTAATACCCTAATAATGTATTAGCTTATCAAATTAGAGTTTACTTTTTTTTTGTTTCAAGAGTTTACATATATGCTCGAGTGCAAAGCTTGTTACAAAAAATTAATGCATTTCTAGCATTGGTATAATAGCATCTTTAAAGTTTATATTAGCAAAAAATTAAATAATGAACATTAAAACAATCAAGATTAAATGTCTTTTATTATTACCGTTATTAATTCAAATAAATTGATTTTTGTATTTTTTTAAGTAAGAGTGAAGATTTAATCCTCGTCTTGAATATGTCTTGAATACGAAGTTCCAATCGGAAAGTATTAACTTTATTTCTATATATATAGGAGTCGTTCGGTGAAAATAAATTATAATTTTTTATTAAAATATATATATATATATATATATATGAATAAGGG